TATATATAATTCACTTCATGAGTGATACAGTTACATGAGTGGGCCAAGCAGCTTTCCATTTCATGTAGTATAGTGCTGCAAGGAAAAACCAATTATTTTACTGCATGTACATGTACACACACTTGGCCGCACCCTCTATTTAAAAAAAAAATTGGTTATGACTGTTTGTCCCAGAAGTACCATTTGCCCATTTTCCCTGAAATTCCTGTCAGTATTACCTACATGTACATGTAGAGTTAAGTCTACTGTTGGAAATGATGTTCGACATGTTATCAATGTTTTCAAGTTGACAGAGGTGTTATTTCAGTGACACATGTCAGTTCCAAACACGCCAAACTTCAGGGACACCGTGATTAAGCTTTTGGTAACGGCAAATAAAATGTCTTGGGTACATGAAGTGGAGCATTGACAGAATACAACACAAACCAGTGTGGCATGCTGTCCAACAACTCTTTGTCAGTGAGTAGGCACTTGTGGTTGGAGCAAATGGCTCATGTCAAACATTAAGGAGACTTAAATGGACTGTAATTCTCAAGTTATGCTTGAAAGAAGCACCACAATTAGATTCATCAAAGCTGAGCAGCTAAAGAATTTTGTGGTATTTTCAGAAATTTGAAAAATCCCAGATCGATTTCAGATTTGAAAAAAATACAGCTGCACTGATATAATTGTATTTAGTAAACCTAGTGAAAAATTAGTTTAAAGTTTTGCTCTGTTTTTCATTTGTTTGTTTGCAACAGACTGGCTTAACCACTTGCTGCTGGGTTTAATTTGAAGTTGCAAGACGTAAATCTGGGGGATTCTGAAGATTTTCCGTTTTCAAAATTCTTCAAAAAATCATAAGTACATTTACTGGACATTTACACTCACACGAATGATTGTCTGGTGGCTACTCTAATCTAACATCTAATCTATTGATGCCCGAGTATTTCAGCCAGGCCTGCCACCTGGTAAAAAGAGCGCAGATTGTGCAGTGTTACACAAGTTTCTTTTGTTCCCGAAACTGGCAAAGTGCTTGACTGGGGTTTTGTATCGCTCATCACTGGAGCGCTGGAGTGCTTTTATCCCCGGTGGTAATCCACTCACGCTGAATGCCACAAACAGTGGTATCATCTTTCAAAATAATGACGGATTTCCTCCGCTATCGACAACTGAAAAAAAGTTAGCAATTTCCAGCAGCTCGGTCTTTTGTTCCGAGAATGGTCTTTGTTATAAGGCCCAGCTCTCTTGTCTGGTTTCTGGCTCCCCGGCTTTGTATATAAAGCAAAGCCTATGTGCCTGAAACGGCAACCCAGCAGGAAATGGTTAACCAGGAATCTGGAAAAAGTTATAACCGCAAATTTACCTGTGATCTCAAATCCCTTCTTACAAGAGCCAGGGTAACCTCCACTAGCTTTCACCACTGCAACTGCAAACATGCTGTCCTGGAAACTAGGGCGGGCAGAGGGTAAGTTTCCTGTGGTGCAAGCCTTACAAGTAGCATACAAATCATTTGTAAGCAAAGGTAAAAGCACCTGTGCCTCTGGATCACCAAAGCGACAGTTGAACTCCAAGACACGAGGTCCATCACAGGTAAGCATCAGGCCAGCATACAGAACACCTTATGGGAAAGAAAAAACATCTGCTGCACTTCAACGACTGCAATGAGAACATCAGCAAGCACCAGCTCTCCTACCTTTCCATGCGGTTTTCATTGGAGTTCAATCCAAGCTAAAAAAAATAAACAGTTATTGGCAGTAACTAAGCATACATATGGGCCATTCTCCCAGGTTGGGAAACAAAATGTGACATGAAAGTGAATTTTCAAATAACATGAATTAAAATCTTCTTACATGTTTTATTATGTGTATACATTGAACTTTGGGTGAATCCCTTTCAAATGCATCTTTATATCAAAGAGTGTCAGTAAAATAAAATTATGCTCTGTACCAAAACTTGCCCTGTAACACTATGATACATACCTGACAATGAATGTAACACTTATGTTACAGTTAGGACACAAAACATTATGTTCGCAGGGCAGGTGTTTGACACTCGTGATAGGCGAAGTGCATGGAAAGTTCAGACACCTTGATAGATATTTTAAACAATTGACCTCTACTTTTCAAAACAATCACAAAAATAAAATTTTCAGAATAAAACGTAGTGATGTCACATGAACTTGAAAATGGGTTCATTTTTTATGTCACACTTTCCTTCATTTTAAAGTCATAGACACGAACACAAATGGGGGTGGGGCAATAAAATGAGAAACCAAACTTTGTCAAATTCACAAATCATCAATTAAATCATAAATTTTACATTGTGACCTACATACAGAATGTTCCTTGTGGAAATAAGACCCCATCTGACCCTCCAAAAAGGGCAGGCCCATTTTCTCCGACTTCCAAAACCTGGGAGAATGACCCATGTACATGTACCTATGTATGGTCTACCCTCCGCTTTCAGTCCCGTCACTGCTTTCTCTATGATGTCCTTATAGATCTGCTGAAGAACATCTGCAGAAATCTGCAACATGAAAAATTTGACAACGAAGTTTCATATTGCCAAGCAATTCTCGGAGGGTTGAGCAACTCCTATACTCAGGCAGCAGTGTCCATGCATAAATGGTTATATTGTGCTCAAAGTCAAAGTGACATCATGAGTATTCACTTTAGATTTCTTTTTGTGACATTTTAGCTCTGTTTACCGATTTTGGTAGAAACTAATACTTATGTAATCTTAACTACTTGACAACCAAGCTTGCTGAGGCTAGCTAGCAGGTCCACGTTAAATATAGCACCAGGTACCATAAACTATTTCCAAAGATGTGCAGCATTAGGAATGTTAATTTTCCTGACTATGCATTGGGGAGATAATAAATTTTATAAGGGGTTTTGCCCTTACACTGACCCATAACACTGTATGTTCAGTGCTTGAGAACTTGCAGAAAAAGTATACAAGCTTACATGTACATATACTCAGGTGGGCTCGAACCCATACCTCTCGTCTTCAAGTGCAGACGTCTTAACCACTCAACCATCGACTTGCCAGGGTCAGTTGACCGGTCCAAGTAAAATGTAACAGTCTGATATAGCAGCGGATACAGCAAACTATTCCAAGATGACTTTGTGTTGGGGAGATGCTAAATTTTAAAAAGGGGTTTTGTCCTTACACTGACATATGTTCATAACATCTTAGTGGTCGAGCGGTTAAGACGTCTGCACTAGTAAACAGGAGGTTGTGGGTTCGAATCCCATCCAAGCTCATGAATTTTTTCCACAACCTATCGGGAAAAAACTGAGTATCTAGAGTTACGAACATATGTTGGTGTACCCTTATTAAAATGTAACAGGTAAAATTTACCCTTTACACGCTTGTGCCTAACACCAAGATACCAGTGTACATGTATGTATGTACACTGTAGCCACAGTATAGTATTCACCGATCATGGATATGCACCATCACTTTTGATCTGCATCACAGGACTGACTTTTTTGGAAATCCTAGATGAAACACTGCTACCTTCATGGACCTGTCAGCATGATATCTGCATCTTATTACCCTTACTGTTTTCTTAGGTTATAAAATGTGATTACTTACCTGTGGACATGGGCAATAAGCCCCCATTCCTCCTGTGTTGGGACCTGTTTCATTTTCTCCTGCTTTCTTATGATCCTGAACTGGAGGCATTGGGGCAACATGAGTCCCATCACAAAATGCAAGTACCTGCAAAGAAAACACACTTTGTGCACTCACATTATAAAGACAGAAAATGCCTCTATTGCTTCTCAAACATTAACAATTAAACTCTATATACAAAGGAACCCATTCATGTTCATGGGGGCTCAGGTTGGCACAATCATTCTTTCCTTGTGCCTTTCACCACTGCAGCCCAGGTTTGATTCCTAGCCTGATTCAAGCTACAGGTACAGTGCCAAGGGTGCTTTGAGAAATCCTTGGTTTCATTACCACAACTGTTTCATAGTATTTAATAACACCTTGTGGACCCATGTTCCTCAGTGGTATAAAACAATAGATCAGTTTTCAGACGAGCAAAATAACACCTGCTTTCAAGGTTTGTTTGAAATTCATTCCATTCACAACAGTGTAAATGTATGTTTGAAGTTGTCAAAATGACTTTATTGGTTGGATTTTGTAGTGACAAAATGTACAACAGAGTTGGGTTGAACAAAAACTTGAAAAACTTACAAATGATATTTTGATTAATCTTGATTGAAAAGTATGCATTTTAATATTTGATCTTATTACTAAAACATTTCTAATATTGGACAGAATCTGTATGTATAGACAAGGTGCTACGAACAAGTACAATAAAACTTGCCATCCTTGATGATCAATCATGTATACACTGTGTTTTCCAGAGACAAAAGTAAACTTTCTCCAGAGACAAAAGTGAACTTGGCAAATAAAAAATTCCGCAAAATTTGCAGAAACAAAAATGTTGTCAGAAATGTGTGTTCAGTTCTTTAGTCTCATGCATCTGAGTAACCAGAGAACCAAGTTACAAACTGAAAAAGATCTCTCATGATCAGGCACAATAAGGGAAAACTTGACTTCCACTTTTAGTGAGAACTGAATTTCTATCGGGGGGGGGATAAATTGTGAGGTACGATTTGATGTTTGCATTCATAACTGCATTTTACAAAAAGGTGACAGTAGACATAGTGACCATACAGCTTCAACCTGGTTAATCATGCAGTTTTCTAATGTACGCCAAGAAAAATTCCCAATTAATGTCTTTATTGTTTTAAGTATCAAAACAAGAATTCATCTTTCTTAAATACCTCAGACAGTCTCCCTATTCAACAATGTGCAACCAGACAGTATAACAACATTTGATAATTCCCGCTGAGAAGTGATAATGCCCACTACATAAATCGCACGCTGGCACCTGGATATGAGACAGTTTAATCGGTTCTGACTGGTTAAGAGTGTGCACATGGCTCGCCAGGGGCACACCAAGTCCAAATAAGGAGATTCTTTTGGACAACTAAAATAAAATGGACAGGGGTGTTCGAGAAAATGAAAGTAAAATGCTTGAACAAAATCGTTGGAAATCTGTCACATATTGACTTCTTTTGACTCTGATTAAAAGAGGTATTTATGAATGGAAATAAATACGTGCTTGGCCAGTCTTAAAACAACATTGACAATGCCTTTGGCTGCAACTCAAGCATTAATCACGTCCATTCTCCTTCACTGGTCTTATATGCACGTGTAAGGCCAAGCACAAATTTATTCCTTTTTTTAATTTCTAAGAGACTGTCCTTGTGGTACACAAATATTTTTGGTCATGTGCTTGTTGCTCAAATGTCACTTCACATGACACGCTGATTGTTTGGGATTTTTTTTGGGGGGGGTTAAGTCAAAGATGAATCTTATTCTATCTAGCAGATGCATTTCTACTATAGAAATATATTTGTGATTAAAACTGTATGTTTGCAATGTATTCCCATTGTAATGTCATTTTTGTGGAATTTTTTACGAAAGTTTCGTTAAAAAATGGAGTTTTCTATTCGGGAAAATTCAAAAACTGCAACTTAATGAAATTGGTAAAGTTTCATCTCTCCAGGTACATGTATTTCATTATTGTTCAAGAGGTCATCTCAGGGGCTAGTAGCACCGTACTACTCAAAGCAGTTATTGTGTGTATAATATGTCTCCATCCTAATTGTAAGTCCCATATGAGATTACTTTAGCTGTTCCTGTGAACCATGCTAATGAAAAACAAAATGAGTACACTAACTGCTACAAATATTTATAGTATTCATATGTATGAGACGTAATTTGTGTGCCACTTGGCTCAAGCTCCATGTGCATCTTAGTGCCAACTGCTATTTTTTAGCACATGCCTGCTCCACATGAATGAAAGTCGCAGTGCCAAAAGACAATAAAACCATTGAAACAATAACCAACAGGCCACTAATTGCATGAGAACCATGTTGAATTGAACTTACTTTCACAGAATGCCCACAAACAATATTTGCAAAGGAATAAATACCACGGTTACCTTGTGGAGAAACTCTTGGTTATCACTTATAGGATGGACGTTGATCATAACTTAGTCTTTATATTCTTAAATTCAAGTTCACGAGACTTCATGCAGGTTTATCAGTAAACCTATGTTTGTATGCAAATATTACAATATTGCAAATTTCAGCAAATGCTCACAGAAAACTCCTCCCCTTCTAGTAGCTCCTCGACTACCACCTTGTCTCCAGCACCTCCAAATATTTTATCCTGCATAAATAAGCACAGAAACAAATCTCAAAGAACTTCTTCCTTTTATCTTGTCCTTCGACAGGGACAATTCTGTATTGGTGTCAGAGACACATAAATTTGCAAAGATTAGAAAGTGCTTTGTGTTTATGAAGAGTTTGGATATTTTCCCCATCTTTGAATTAATACATGTGTATCTTCAAATTAATTCAGGTCCTAACTATGAAAGTATATATGACTGTAGTTATGAATGTGAAGTACTAAACTACATGGAATGTATGCTTTTTGGGGCAATGCAGTTGTAGTTTTGTGGACCAAAAAAGCAGAATTTAACCATTTTAATGGTGAGAGCAAAAGAGCAAAAAGCATTCAAAGGGGTATGAAATGCTTGATCAATTTACACTCACATTTTTGCATTGCCTTCTTTCAGGACACCTAACAATTGTAAATGTTTCAATATCAGAAAACTTGGAGAATCATCACGCTTGCAAAACTTGGAAAATCAACCCACTTGCAAATTACCAAAGACGGTTTTTAAAAACGCAGATTTTAAAATCATTAAATAAACAATATTTACAGTAAATTCTAGTGAAGTTGACACAGTACAACTTGCCAAATAGCCAAAGTCAGCCATTTTACAAAAGCTGATGCAGAAGTGGAAGATACTGCATCCACTACTGATGTTGAGGTCCCTAATAAGGCTGTACTATCTCCTTCTATCAATGAGGCATTCAAAGTGCTTAATGATATAAGGCACTTTGCTATCAGCTTCCTGGCCAACCTGATGGATTTTGGCAATCACATGGAAACATTCCTTAAAATAAGATGCCTGAGAGAATGAAAATCACTGATTTCTTCTTAAGAAGTACATGTAAACTTTCATGTGTTGAGTCAATCACATGTACATGTATGAACAAGAAATTGTAGCATATCTTCATACATGTCAAATTGAATCCTGCCATAATCTCCCATTGTTTGGGACTTGGTTTACGATAAAAAACATTGCCTATCATAATAGTCCCATACGATTATATGATTCTTTTTTAATTTAAGAGTCTTTCCATTCATAATGTGATCATTTAAATTTAAATATATATGTGATTTAATTTGAAGTTTACTAGTCAAACTTTTCAACTTTGCCCAACTTGCATGACATTTATCTTAAGTTTTAGTAAATTTTGGATCAAACAAGCATGGAAAAAAGCATCCCAAGATTGATATTAAATGAAAAAAGTTTGGTGATATGGTTTTATTTTATAGCTGTTAACTTTGTAATACTTTGAAGTTTATTTGTAACAAAATACCTAAACACGCACCATCAATCAGAAAGGACTTTCAGGCCAGTACTGCAATGTGAGCAGTACCAATATTCCTTCACATGTACACGCTGTACGTGTAGTAGTACTACATGCATGTGCTCTGTCTATTTTGAATGATTCAGTCAGTTTAACTTAGGGTCATGTCAAGTACCTGAGGACCCACTACCTGACCGTTGCTTACAGGTACCTGGTTCCATTTTTTCAATTACCTAAAACTGCCCCTGTACATATAAATGTCAACACAACAGTTCAGAATGGCAAGCAACCTTTTCCTTTGCTTACTTGCTGCCATATTGTCAAAAAAAATCTGAGTAAATATATGTTGAATTAAAATTAAAATGAAAAAAAAGTGATTAAAATTCAGTCACGACATACTACACGTGCAACTCACCATAAACTGGCCAGCTTTGCCTGGCACACTTTGGTCTTTTCTCACCGGGTCACTCATATACACGCTGCATAAACCATACCAGCCCGTAACTGCAAAAAATCCTGCGTTTCAAGCTATAATCCTGGTCAAATCTCATTGGGGCCCCCAACCCCAGGTCCCCTTTCAATGTTGGGTCTCAGTACGCAGTCTGCGCTCCAGCTCCAGATGACAACATTGACTGGGAGAGCTGGGGACCAAGAAAGGGTATGGCTATTGACACTTGTTCTCGCAATTTTGACCAAGATTGTAGCCTGACTGCTACCAGGGACCCAATGGTAGCCTGCACACAGGCACTGACTCTGCAACGGCCACATGGCTACAGAATGAAAGGTGGTGTGATTGTACATACTGGAAAAGCCCCAGTGAAAACCTGCCCTGGCTATGCGCTGCTCAGTGCCCTGTTACGATGACAGATCAAACAACAAGAAGTCCTTTCCCATGAAGGTACATTTATGTGGTTTATTGCTTTTTAATCAGTAGACAAGAAAATTTTAGGTACATGTACATGTACACTGAAACAACATCAATCTTTGAAAAATGATAATTCGTGAGCAAAACATGGCACCATTAGAACAAAGAGAAGGTAAATAACTCTGAAAACTTTACCACCACGGAGTAAGTTGATTTTGATTATGTATTTCATGTGCAGGGCTGGTATGAATCCATAACGTGGGAACTCTAACTAGCTTGAAATTCAGGAACCTTGATTTTCAAGTAGTTCCCTGAGGTCTGAGTTGTCGAGATCTACTGTATCTTATTTCAAATGAAAAGTTTAAGTTGCAGAGTAGTCCTGTGCAATTTTAGTTGCCAAATTCAAAGAAAGTGAGCATGCCAGTGCAATGCTTAATCCTGCAGCTTGGCAGTAGATTGGGTGGGGCCACGGAGGTAAATACTCAATGACCATGTTTTTGTTATTGTTTTATGGGCCACAGAGGATGGAATGGACGGAGCGGATACTTTTTGCGTGTTGCCTTGACTGCCACTGCCGAGCTTTACTGCCCACAAACTGCTTTAGGCCCGGTCACAAACTCAATTTCTAGTTCAGCAATACGTGTTTTTCGCTTATTGCTGAAGGAATAGCTTAACCTACATGTAGTAAAAAACAATACTGGTGACAAGCTTTTCCAACATGGTTGAAACTGACGGGGATTAATTACTAATAACACAATTCATGTTGCATTAACTACAACCATAGGAAGGGCCTTACATTTTGCAATAGTCTTACATTTTGCAATAGTCTCTTATACATGACATGCATACATGTACATACATGACAAGTGAAAAGCATGTAGGGAGGTAACCAGAAATACAAGTATGATCAGTTGAATACGCCCAGTCTATCCTGCCAAAGGATGGGTCTGTGCAATGAGGCTAAGAACTGCAATAAAGAGCTGGTAAGAAGATGCCAAACTAACCTGTGTATTCTTCAAAAATTCACACATGTACATGTATCTTTATTTTCAAGACATGTACACCTAAACGAATGACTGTCTTGTAGCGAGTCTAATCCAACTGTCAACCCCCACTGACACACAAGTGTTGCAGCCACGCCTGCTGCCCAGTAAAGAGCCCCCATTGTGCGGTATTGCATAATTCCTCTGTTAAAGAAGTTGGTCCAATGTGTTGCTGGACGGCGGTGTTGCTATGCAGAGCGATTGACGGTCAAGACTCTGACATGAAATTTGCGGTGTGTTTGACTTGTGCCATAAGCAGATGGCAGTGTAACAACGGAGTGCGTGCAGGCTATGAAAGAGAAATGGGTCATTCTACGAATTCGGAGTCCAAAAGTGTAACATTTTTGTGTCCTTGTTACATCTGACCTTTGTTATTTGATATGGAAATAACACCAGAATTGATTTCAAGCTACATGTATTACTATTTGTTCGGCAGGTAATTTGCATTCATTCATCACTCTTGGAAATTAAAAAATTGTTCTGAACTGTCAAATACTGGTTCCCTTCAGGGGCACAAATGTGCTTCAATATAAGGGTGACTGTAAGGCATGAGAGTACAATGTACGTGTATCACTTTGACGGGTGATTGCTGGCTGGACCTTTCCCTTCCAATACAAACAGTAATTTCTATTTCCTCCTAAACTTTCCCATCAATTTTATCACCCAACTAGTACAATTTCCCTTCCCACAATGTGATTTTTATTTCAACAGAAAACTTTTCCATCAATTTTCATGTAGCAAATTTACAAGCACAAACAAAATTTTTCCCAACCCAACTTTTAATTCTCCTGAAATTCTAAATCAAACCTTAAAAGCCAACAAAACAAGTACACAAAGAAAAACATGGAGTCAAAAATTCCCAAAGAACTTCTTTTACTCCTGTCATTTCTGTTCTTGTTAATTAAATAGTGCAACTCACAAAACAAGTAAAATAAATTTTCCCCTTTGCATTCTTTTCAAGAGATGAAATAAAGCCCAAACTCATTAAACACAGTACAAGAACTTCACTGTTACTTTTGTCATGATCAAAATGAAGTAGTACTTAGGGCTTAAAATTGGGCTACTCATTAGAGCAAGTACATGAACATGTACTTGCTCCTTAGACAGCTGAATTTTCAGCAAGTAGCTCCCATACCCGTACAATATTAAAGACATATGTTCAAGAAAAAAAAGAAAAGACCTTGGTCCTTGGTTTTGCTTTTGTGCTTTGCGATGCGGTGCCAACAGTCAGGCACCGGGTCTTTATAACGTGAATGTGCACACAGACGTAAGAGGGAACTAACTGCAGCAATCGAGCATTTTCGAAACAAGTAGATTAGCCTGAGACTTAGCTTGTGGTTCCAGCTATTTTGGAGCAGCATTCAAAACCACATGTTCAAGCTATGACTGGAACCAGCGAAACTGAAGTCTAAGTCACATCCACTCATTTGGCTTGAATTTACGCGTAAGTCTAGGAGGTTGTAGTCGCAGCCAGTTTCCGTACAATCATGTGTAATTTCCCGCCGTATTGATTCAGACACGACCACTGTACAGACCATTCAGCGAGATCATGACACTGGCTGCAGGTATGTGTATGTACATGTACGTTCAAATGCATTGCATGAGAGACTGCAGCGTGCGCTCAGTGACATCGCAAAAAAAATTGTACCGTGTTATGGTTCCGAGACAAGGCTGATCCAAAGTGAAGTAAAAAAGTTGAGGTATTTTTCATAACAAAAGTAGAAACAAACGGTAAAAATGTTTTTTCATTTATTTTCATGTATTTTTCATTACAATAATGGAATCAAATGGGTGTGAGTACTTGCGCCAGTCTTTATG